TGCTGGAGCACAGGCAGCTCCCTGCTGGGGCTCAGCATCGGCACAGCACCTCGGCAGCCTCCTCGGCACCCTGAGATCCTGCCTCCCCACCTGCCACCAACCCAGAACTGGCTCAGCTTGGCCCCAAGCGAGTGTTAATGAGCTATTTGTCACCCAGGAAGGGAAAATGTTAGCATGAGCAGCAGCCCTACCCCACTCCCAGCTCAGGGAGATCCCTACAGTACGGTCTGGCCCTCTCCAGCAACTGGTACGATTTTACAGCCTGGCTTTTTCCCACCAGCTCCAAGGCCAACACAGGCACCTGCCCCAGGCCCCAGTGACCCACTGGCAGGCCACTGCCTTCGGGTCCTCTCCAGAGATACCAAACCCTCGTTTCCTCAGGGCAAGGCTGACATCAACAGCAGCAAGGGATCCATGCAGGGGTCAGAGTACTTCTCCTTGAACTTTCCTTTGTGGCTCACAAATCAGTTGCAAAACTCTAAAAATAACATGGAGTCCGCCCCGGTCCACCAAACCGCTTTGCTTGGCTCCAAAAGAGAAAATTATCTACACCATTTTCCACCTACAGGTCACAAACTAATTCCCAGCCTGGCTGATTTGCGAGAGAGTTGCCAGCGAGACGAGCAAGTTGTGCAAACACCCAAAGACAGGAGAGGAGCAGCTGCCAGGAACGGGAGCTGAGCGGTGGCAAGGTGCCTCGCCAGCATTCACCGTGCCCCGCTTCCTTTGGCTCACCTCACGGGAAAATCAAGCGAAACGGGTCCAGCTGAGGCTGAATTGCTCTGATGGACTGCACGGCTACTCCACCATCCATTAGCACCCAGAGCACAGTATCCCCCCCTTAGTCTGGCAAGAAGTCGCAGCGCCTCTGCCAGATAACCCCCGTGCGGTCCGTGTCCCCCCCAACCTCACAGTATTGCACAGAGGCGGTTGGCTCCCCGGGTCCCCCTTCGCCCTCCCTGCTCCTTGGCTGAGTAGCTGGGACTCACGTGAAGGCAAAGAAGAGGGTGGTGGCTCCCACTAGGAAGATGGCAGCAGCTGAGACCGGGACGTATTTGCTGGGTTTGAATCTCTTTCCAGATGCTGCTGGCATGTTGGAGCTGTGGTGGGGGATCCGCCCCGCAGCATAGCCCAGGCCCAGCGAGAGTTGGAGCAAGATGAGAAGGGAAGGGGAGAGGAACGGGGGCAAACTACTACCCAGCCTCTGTGCTTGCTCCCAGGGCGAGCTCTGACCAGGGCAGACAGTCCAGAGAAGTCCACGGCAGTCTCTGGAGCGTGAGGCCCAGGAGAGGAGTCCACACTACACTCTGCCCCACAAGAGTTTGCGGGCGCAGGGAAGGAGGTTTAAAAACATTAAAAACTCAGAACAGAGAACTGGATTTGGATTTAAAACAGCCGCTGGGTCAGGAACGCCGAGAGCCCTTATGAGCTTCCCTCAGTTGGGCAACAGCCTGCAAAAAGCAGGTCCCCACACGGCTGACACCGGCAACCAGGCTCCACGGGGAAGGGAAGCCTTCCAGGCTCGGCCGAGGGGATGAGCGTGACGTGCAAGGTGAGGAGCCGGGCGCACCTTCAACCCAGCCAGCACCCTGGGAAAGAGCAAGATATCAGTAAACTTCTTGCAAAAAAGCCACTTGGGGAGGCTCAGAGAAGCCACTTCTCCTTTTTAATCTGCCCTCTGATATGCTGCAGCCCCCTCCGGTTGCTGTGCGGGAAGATGGGGTTGTCTCGCAAGCAATCTGCCCAGCTTCCTCACAGCACTGCTGCGTCCTGGCTGCCTCCTCCTCCTCCCCCTCGCTGGAGGGGGTCACAGAAACACTCTCCCTGATTTCACCAGGATCTGGGACTGGCTGGCTGGTGGTGGCCGTTTAATTTTATTTATTTCTCTCTTGACTGTTAAAGCCGAGGAACAGCTGGTGCAAGGTTGAGCTGTAAATCCTTTCTTTGCAAGGGGGGCGCGAGGGGAAGGTCCAGCAGATTGTGTGTTTTCGTCCTCTTCCTACTTGTTCCTTTCTCCTGACCCCTCAGGCCTTTCCATGGGCTTAGTATCCACTCAGCGGTTGGGAAGTGACCGAAACTTCATTAAATCTTTTCTGCAACAACCATTTCCAAGCAGCACAGTGGAGGTTAACGGAGAGATCTGGAGAGGAGCTTTCAGGGAGTGCTTCTACAACCCCAGAAGACAACTGACAGTGAAAACTCTTCTGTATGGATCAGTCTCATCCATGGCCCAAGCAGTGCAGGGGAAGATCTCAGTTTGTTCCAAACTGCTCCATTTTTTCCTCCTCTTCCTTCACTAAAATTCTTCTTCATTAATCCATTTGTCTTTTAAAAAAAATACATAAAATCATTAAAACTTGACATCCGGTACGCCACACCTCACCTAGGGAAAAAAAAATAAAATTAACAAGGCAAGAGAAGAGACACAGTCATGTAAAAATACTCACTAAAACAGCACTGAGCTTCCCAGGTCACAGAGCAGGCGTTTAGTGGAAGATGGAAACAGCGCCTGGTAGATTTAAAAGCCTGTTGGCAAGTCCCAATCAGCAAGATGCCGATCTCCAAGCCCAGCTCTTGCACAGATTGACGCCATAGCCCCAGGCCTATCACCTAACATCAGCGTCCCTTTCCACATCTGCAAAACTGGAGCGATGACCACCCCATGTAGGCTGTGATTAGTCAAGGGAGCCTGGCCGCAGCCTGCCACCTCCCTTCCCACCCCGAGGCCCTGTGGCACGTGCTGCAGAGAAAGCTGGGCCACCTAACCCACCTGAGAAATCCACGTGAAGCCCCGAGTAAGATGAGGGACCCCACAACTTCTTGCCCAATGCCTTTCTGCAGTTACAGCTCGAGTTCAAACGCTAGAGATGCCTGCTCCCTTGAGGTGAAGGGGATGATCAGAGGCTTGGAGACTTAATATGAGGGTGGAGACCACAGGAGGAAAAGACAGCCAGGAATCTTGTCCCCTTCCCCTAGAGGGTAGGAGACGGGAGAGGCCTGTAGAAAACACCAGTCCCTCCACCAGAGGAGGTACTCGTAGCTCTGGACAAAGGAGAGCTGGGCTCTCACTAGGTAGCCCCAACTGTTTCTAGGTGACCTTGGGAACATGCCACCCTTGGCTGATCATGACGATGCAGGAGGGAATGCCACAGAAAACAGGGAAAACCAAACCTTTCCAGAAATGGAAAGAGAAGGCACCAACCTGCCCCAAGCTCCAAACACCCAAGAGCCCGTCACAGCTCAGGGACGAGCTAAACACCAATTGTATTGCACCGATTATTACTGCTACAGCAACCGCTCCTTGATTTGTCATCCATTCTCCACTTTGCTGCCTCCTTGTTTCGTCGCGAGGCCTCCCTTGCACTGCAGGTCCAAGTACAGAGCCCTAACGACTCGTCTGCTTTCTCCTTCCAGTTTTCTCCTCTTCCGCCTCTCAAAGTTTTTTCTTCAAGGCGGACAGGAAAATATCTAGCGCTGACTAAACACTCACGAAGGTTGACAGAACTGCGGCACAAAATTAAAGGCACATTTAATAGCAAGAATGTATTACAATTAAATTGGTTCAGTCACAAAACAAGGCGTCAGTCACTTTGGCTGACTAATGAAGAAACCGCTCCCACTGCAGAGCGGCTCTTCCTTTGCAGAAACGAAGCTCAACTTTCCAAACCAAGTTTTTTTGCCCTTGTGACCAAGAGGAAATGCTGGACTGGTGCTCCTGAGCCAGCTGGGGAAAGCTCTGGTTTCACCTGGTAGCAGCTCTTGACCCTGGTGAGTTTAAGAGTAACACCAGAGAAAAACAGCTGTTTTCCCCAGCGGGCACAGAGCTCCTTGGAGAGCAGCAGCTCCCTGGCCTCGCTCTACCCCACTCAAATACCCTACCGAGAGGCGAGCACAAGCCCCAACGCACACGACTCGGCGAGAAGCCCAACACCCCACAAAGATGAGCCCTGCCGTGCCATCACCCAGGGAGGGAAGTGCTCGTCGCCTGAGCTAGCTGCTGCTGCGATACAGGCAGACAGTAATTCTAGGGATAGGTTACTCGGAAGTTTAAAGATGACATCACTGCTAATTACTTTAGCAGAAGCAATCTGCTAACACACTGGTCTGCTGAAACAGAACACGGCAGCTCTTTGAAAGGCTCCACCATGAAAACAAAGCCACACCTCGAACTCAGATACTGCCAAAATGAAGGAGTCTTCTTCCGTGATATTCCTCCTCCAGAGATCTTCTCCACCCCTCTCCTCGCACCACGCAATCGGTGTGCTCCTTGACCAGGGCGAGGTGCTTCCCCCAGAGCTTGCCCCCGAAGTCCAAGCAACCCCCCCAGGCAGGTCCTGCTCGGTTCTGTCTCAGCCGTTCCACCTGAAGGTGGGGGCATGAATTCAAGCACTCTACCCCTTCACACAGGGTGATCTGGCACGCCGTGCCTTTGCAAAGGTCTGTGTGCCACCTCAGCTCCATACAGAAACAGACACCAGGCAGCGCAGGAGCGAGCTCCTCATCAAATAAGGAACGTACGAGTCGAGATAATTGCTCATGGGACAGTCTACCCGAACAAGCACTATGTGTGGGGGAGAAATCCCAAGCTCTGTCATTAGCGACATCCAAGCTAGATGCAACGCAAATATAATCCCTGGCTCCTTGCGGCCTTCGCTCAAGAATAACTCCGCAATTCTGCTGAGCCCATCCTGCCCGTCTCCCAGAGCCGCCACGCAGGCAGCTCAGAGACTCC